GTTTTTTTTTTTCAAAAACTTGCCAGTGGCGCAGAAAATTTGGCCAAAACAGCTTCTTTTTAGTGCTTCAGGAGAGCTCGGAAAAATAATTTGGTCGACCTAAAAAAAGTCGTCAAAATTTTCGAAAATCTTTTGAAAATCCGCCGCGCCTCCCCCCCTCGAGAAAATCCTAGATCCGCCCCTGTTGATGTACCATATATTTTATGATGTTTTGTTTTAAAGGAATCTGACGAAAATTCCACGGTTTGACGTTTTCTCCAATTAAAATAAAAAATTAGTTCTTTTTGAAAAATCTGTGCAACAAAACGAAAAAAAAAACAATTGAAATCATATCTTGTAATGGTACTGCAGATTCCAAAACTGGTACCGGGTTTCGACAGGTACCTTTAAGGTACATTCATTATTTAAGGCAACGAAAACTTCGTTTGGACAGAAAAAAGCGTTTTAAGATGCCAAAAAAAAATAGCATAGCGCAGATTACAGAAAAACCTTATTGTGAGTTAAACCTGCAAACTAAGATAAAAAGTTATATACAGCATGACCTGGATAAGGAACCGCCCTTGAACAGAAAACATTGGTGCGGGGAAGAGACCGATAGCATTTGGGTCTAGATTTCTTAAGTCTTCTGAAAAACTTCATTACATTCAATAAATAAGAGTTATTGGGCATTATATTGCGCCTAGGCACCTTATCAATAATATATGTTCAGTCACAAATCTATTGAGAGTTTGAGCATTAAAAATCGTTGCGCGAAGAAAACTTTTTAAAAAAGTTATGAAAAGTTTTATTTTGTTCTCTGATCATAGTATATACGGGCCAGGTAGAAACTTTAATTGTCATATTGAAAACTGTTTATTCGCAGCTTGAGCTACAAAGAAAAATACTTGAAAATTTTTTCCTCATTTTCGAGAAAGTATGTCTTTTAGTAAAACTTAAAAACTTGGAACAGAATCACTGGTATTTGTTAGGTAAGTTGAAAATCCTCCAGTGTAATGAATTTGAAAATGGAGCTTTTAAATAAATCAAAAATAACAGTTACTTGGAATGTTCCGACTACAATAATTTATTCACGGAAAATCAAAACAAAGAAAAAATTTTTAAACAAGGTAATCTGAGCTTCGAAACACGTGTGATTCAAGAATTAAAAAAAAAATTACAGTTAAATTTAAATTTCAAAGAAAAAAAAACAATAATGGCTAATGGCCAGACAAAAAAAAAACAACTCTCAACGTTTTTCAAACCTCTCAACTTTCAATTTTGAAGGAAAAATAGATGGCTTAAACACTCGTTGCATTTCTGGCAAGATTGACACTGTTTTGATGCAATTAACCCAATTTGAGAAAACTGGATCAATAGGTAAATTTTCTCTTTGGCTGAGAAATCTGATTATTAAATTTTATTTTCGAATTTAGATGTTGATCACGTTTTTCGAGACCTTTACACTTTCGCTGTTCGATAGTCGAGTTTGTCTTCCTTATATCAAATGAAATTAACTGAATTAAAAAAGCGCTAAAAAAACTCAAATTCAAACCGCGAAAAACCAAATTTGAGCCTAACAACATTTAAGACTTATTCTGAAAAAAAATAACCAAAATCATCATGACCTATATGAGAGTCCGAACTACATTCATCGACTCTAAATAAAAATCTTGAAGCATCGCAATATTGAAATAGTCACCAAAAATTCATCAAATATATTACAGAGAAAACGAGAGAACAACGCAACGTAAAGAAACTAGGAAAAATAAAATTTCATGATGCATCATTTGTGATCTGTCTACCATACTCAAACATTACTATATGATAACACAAAAAGCAAAAAAAACTCGCATATAGCAAACCTCTTTATTTGATGATCGTTGGAAAAACAACCTTTCAATCATAAATTTTTATCTAACCAGAATCCGCTCGGTAAAAACTCAGGCAAGGGTAAGCAAACAATTTTAGGCTGAAACTTAGAGACAATACTTGCAGAGCGCTATTTATTCGAACAAAATAATTCAACTATTAATTTTGCTATGCAGTAAAAGTGCCACCAAATAAAAAAAAATAGAACGAACTATTTCAATTTTCTTGATGTGCATCTCCAACTTGTAGACTAGGAGTCTCACGTCCTAGAATCAGCACCACTGTCTCTTGGAAGTAAATCAAGATATCTTTGAACTACATTACACATGCAGAGAGCAGTGTAATACTATGAAGCAGCTTTTTTCGGACCAACATAGCAAATAAAATTTGCCATTTGGTCCGAAAAAAGCTGCTTTCTAGTATTACACTGCTCTCTGCTTGTGTAATGAAGTTCAATGAGATCTTAGTGAGCCAACAATTGACAGAAACTCCGTCACTTATAGCCTTTGTGTCGAAAAATTGATATGGCAGATAAAGATCTGCTAGCGATTCCTGCAAGCAGATTTTTAAGCAAACTGTTGAAGCAGCTAAGAGTATAGTAAAGCAGCTAAATTGATAAAGCAGCAAAACTAAGCCAAAAAGAAATTGTGGAAGTCTCAACACCTCAATGCAACAGATAAAAACAATTGAACTTTTCTGAACATTAAATGCGTTACGTTAAAGCTATATTTTATGAATAGCAAAAACTTCTAATTGTTTTTCTCTTACAATAAATGAAAGAGCTTTTTAATTGCATGTTACTTGACTCCAGCTGACGTTTAGGAATGATAACTTAGATCGCGTCACAAAAAACTATCAAATTAAGAATTTCTCTTCAGTAGTCAGAATAAATTACATTAGTGTAGTACTTACACCGAGCGCTTCTGAAGCTTGCTGAGCTGACATAGCCTGCATATATTAAATGCAAACAATTACAATTATCTGAAAAAAAAACATTGAAAGATGTTTTTTTCCTGAAAAAGAAGACACATCTAAACAATAATAAATCCAATTATTTTCAATGAGGTAAATTGAAAAAAATTCACGAAAGTAATCGTCCGATCACATCTTGAGAGAAAAATCAAAAAGGCAAGTTGGATAACTATCGCGCGGAGCGGCGGCTAGTTTGAATAACCCATGTCTTCAAAATAGGCGCCAAAACCCTTCTCCCAATTTTTAACTCTATGTGCACAAATATGGCCTTAATTTGATTCTAAAAAAAATTCCACTGAAAAAACGTTCACCAAATACTTCTAATTAACAATTAAAAACTTAAACTTATTACTACAAACAAAATTCTGAAACAATACTTACAAAAGAAAGTTGTTTTCAAAAGAAAGTTTGCGTTATCAAGCAACTACTGCCAGATCTTTAAATGATACAATTCCTTGCCAAAAACTCCATCATGAGACATTTTTGTGGGTTGCTTTAATATTTACATTGGTCCTGTACAAGGTTTCGACAATGGGTTTTTCGGCGTAGTTTTCCAAGCAAAACCTTTTGCGTGTTTGTTCACACTTTTGCACCGTTTTCTAGTTTTAATCCATATTTTTTGAATCACGAATTTTAGGAGTAACCACTCGCATGTAAATTAAGCTTGCATTATCTATTATAACGAATTCTTATACAAACTTGAGACAACAGCAATTGATAGCGTTTACGATATTTTGGAAAAGGTTATACTTGACTGGAAATCTCTCAACATACATTATAATCGACTTTAGCTTTAATATTTTGAATTTTTATTTTGTGACAAAATTACTGAAAAGCAGTTATAACTGATTGGCGCACATTGTCCTCATTGAAACATAGGCAACCGTTTGTTGGAAAAAGGTCAATGAATGTAAAAAGACCCAAAAAGTCAAAAACATAGCCAATCGAAGATTGGAAAAGAGTAATGAACGCAAGTAAACATTAAAAAAAACACTGACTTTCTTGAAAAAATCTCAAATTTCGCATTTCAAAAAATAGAAGTGTAGATGCTTTTTAACCTTTTTTCACGCCATTTCCACGTTCTTATTAGGAGAGTGCTATTTACCTACTTTTCGGCAGAAGAATTTCAATTGAACTCAAAAAGTGCATTGGGTATATATGCACTTTTTGAGTTCAATTGAAGTAATATGTATGAATGGACATCTGTAGTTATAAGAGGACTTTCAGACTTTTTCCTGAAAAAAAAAAACAAACAAAAAATCACCAAGAGCTTTATAAGAGTCTTCACTACGTTGATAACTCTTTAAAAATAAGGACCGGCCGAAACTCGAACCCGACTTCTGAATCCGAAGGTACGCACTTGAACAAGTGTAAAGGGGCGCGAAATTGAGGATTTATTGATTGGCGAAGGAAGCAAGCTGTCCTCAATTGAACTGGCGCAGAAAGCAAGCTGTCCTCAATGGAGCTGGAGGAAGCAAGCTCAATTTCCAACAGATTTGTAAATAAAGTTGTTTACGGCAAAAAAGTTGTATCTTCCGATTACAAGTGTAAAATTGCAAACTTTAAAATGTATGTTTCATATGTCTGATATCCTTCACCTGATATTTGACAAGTGATCTAATTCCTGCCTTTTCTTTCTTCTCAACGTATTCTGTAAAAGTCTACTTTATGGGACGTCTCCTCGAGGGGCCTTAGGGCCCGTGAGCTCGATCCCTGTGATTATCTTATGACTGATGCTTGTTAGTTATATGAGCTCACTAAAGAATTCAAACTTCGAACTAAAAGTAGCATGCAAACTAAGATACTCAGATGAAAAATTGAATATTTCAGGTAACCTTTATAGCTACAGCATGTAAAGAGATACAAAGAACCTTTTGCCAAAATTTCCGAATAGCTTTAAAAAATCCGGACAGCTGAATATAAAAAATATTTTACCGGTACATAAGAAAGAAACACCAAAAAAAAACAAATTGATATAGAATTAAATTATGTTCCGATTTGACAACGCCTGTTTATCGCAATCATAATTATGTTTCTGATATAGTAAAGTGATTTGCTCCGTTATTCAAAACAAGAATAAAAATTTTTCGAGCTGAAAATATAAGTTAAATCTGAGGCGAATAGGAAAAATAATAATATTGAATATTTATTGACAAAAGTAGCAAAAATCAAAATAGGCTACATTGATAAACAACGAACAACCAATAAAAGATATTAGGAACCAGCGTGCCATTTTGAGAAGAGAAGTTACACCCTTTAAAAGATAAAGTCTATAACATCTCAGAATAACGATTCAACTAACTAGAATAAAATACGAATCAAAACATAACATTTTTGAAATACTGGGAGTTATAAATCCACTTATTTAAGTTTTAATTCTCTAATCGGAGCATTCGCCATCTTCTAGATCATCTGGGTCGACCACTTTCTTTGGAACATGCCCTTCTTGTTTACTCAATTTGTTTATGTCAATTTTACCAGATTTTTCCGTAATGCTACTTTCTCGTTCCGGTTTCGAAGACCTTTTATGTTTCATTTTCTTGGCGGTGATGAAGGTCTCAATTGGCAACGCCACGTCTTTTTTCGGGGTTGCTCCTGGCTTTGGTATGCAGCTCTTGGAACTCCCCATTGTCGTTTCTAGCACCGTGTCATTGTGGCGGGAAGTCCAGCTCCCCATTGATGACGAGCGACTGTCTATTGACTTTTCACGTCGTTTTGCTTTCTTTTCACTGCTCGCTTCGCTTTGTTCACAGGAGGACCAATCTTTTTTCGAGCTCCTTCTGGAGAACTCATCTTCATCATACCAATCCGAATGATGTCGCCTTCCTTTCCTTTTCGATCTCAGAATTTCATCGAAGCTGTCATTGTCTTCACCATCTTCATCGTTGATTTCATTCTCATAATTGGGTAAACCCTCGTCCCTGTATCCACTCTTTGACCTTTTAGGTAGCCGCGGCGCCTCGTCAAACTCTCCTTCGGATCCAGGAGAGAGGTCGCGCCATGATCTGAGCTTCGAGGTCGAGTTCTGGCGACGATTGCTTGAACTACCGTGACTTTTACCATGCTGATTCATGTTATTCGAACTTCCAGGTACATGGCTGTCAAAGTTATGCCCTCTGCTACTTTTTACTTCGTAACTATCGAAACCAGAATCTCTACTGGGTGCGTTTTCGTGGTGTTGTTTTCTGTTCTCGTTATTATACTTAGTGTCGTAATTATAGCTAGCTTCCTTAAAATTTTTGGTCGATTTATAGTACCCATGGTTATTCTTGCCTCTCTCGTTGTAACTACTTTCGCTTTGCTTATAACTGCTTGCTTGTACGTTGTAATTCTGCTGCCAGTTTCGGTTGTCAACGTGACTTTTTTCATGACCCCGTGAATAATGTTTTCCGCGACTACTGCGACTATTTCCACCTTCAGAAGTACTGAACTCATTTGCTAGATTACAGGGCGGAGCAGCATTAAAATTCTCAGAAACAAAATTTCCATTTGGAGGGATAAAACCAGGAGCGTTCCCACGAAAAGCTCCAGATGTTCCTAAATTCTCATTTGGTGGAGAAAAATTAGACGAAGTATGCTGAAAAGCGCCAGCGGGGACACAATTTTCATTCGGTGGGACAAACCCGGGAGAACAAACCCCGAAAGATCCAGCGGTGACAAAATTTTCATTCGGTGGAACGAAGCCAATGGAATTGTTTCTGTAAGCGCCAGCTGTAACATTATTTTCATTCGGTGGAAAAAATCCAGTGGAATTGCTTCGGTAAGGCCCAGCTGGAGCATAATTTTCATCCGGTGGAACAAAACCGGGAGAACTACTCCGGAAAGCTCTAGCGGGAACAAAACTTTCCTTCGGTGCAACAAAAGCGGGAGAATTGCTACGGAACGCTACTGCGGTGCCATACATTTCATTCGGTGGAACAAAATCGCGAGAGTTGCATTGGGAAGCTCCGGTGGTTCCAAAACTTTCAATTGGCGGGACAAAACTTGGCGAAGGGTTGTAAAAACCACCAACTGGCAAAGTTGGCGAAATCTGCATCAAGTCCGGAATCTGTTCAGCCTCACATTTATTTTCAATATTTTGGTGAATAGGTAACGCCGGAACCTGATGCTCAATTTCCAGGCCTTCTACATTTTGACCAATTTTGCAGTTCTCTTGAACAGGTTTAGCAATTTCCTCTCTATGAGAGTTATTTAAATATTTTTCGGTTTCTTTCGTGTCACTGAAACAAACGTTTTCACCTTGATTAACCATTTTTGGCTCCTCTGGTTGGGGCAAGTCTTCGCAAAAACGTTTAGGGTGCCTTGTTTCTGAAAAGTGCTGCCTGTAATTTTTTACATCCAGAATCGAAAAAGAGTCGCCAGTTTGGGAAGCACACTTCGGACTCGTCAGTTTAATCTTCTCGTCATGAACAGCTTGCGTAGCATTAGAATACGAATGGTATGATTGCGAATAAGTCTCAGGATGGTCCGGCATTTCGATTTCTTGTTGCGCAGGCAGCGAGTATCCAGGTTGAGATGTACGAGTACTCATGCCATTGGGTGGCGCTTCATCTGGCCTCAAAAGCGGAGGAGGAATCACTGAAGAATTAGGTCTGTAGCTAGAATATTCTGGCACACTGTACTGAGTGACCGGTTGATTTCTGACTTCATACTCGTTACTCTCGGGATGAAAAGTAGGGCATGAACTCTGAGCTCTAAGTCTGGTGTTAAACATTCTGGGTCTAGCTGGGCGCGGAAACTGTTGAGGTGCGCTTGGTGGTGAAATTATCTTCTTCCTGTACACACGAACTCCCACTCGATGGGGGAAGCCAGGTAAGAAATGAGGTGGTCTGGGAGTGAAGCCCATCTGATTGCACATTGTTTGGGGGGAGTGATGGCGCTGCGCCATGAGATGAGGAATGAGAGGTCTAATCGGTCTGATTTCGTCTCTTTTGAGGGGAACTAGCATGCTGCGTAGTGGCATACCCCTAGGTCCAGCTGGAAATCTAGGATACATTTCAGGTCCACTTAGTCTGTGTTGACCTGCATTAGCTCTTTCATATTCGTAAGTGCTTCTATCTCCATATTCTGGTTGGTAATTCATCGAACGCTGACCGTCATGTTCTTCATATGCTTGTGAATCAAAACCCGGCGGTTTTATTTTGTAATCAATTTGAATTTCTTGAGTAGGACAATTTATAGGAACTTGATTATCCCATTCATCCGCTGGGCTAATTCGCTTAGAAATGTCTGATGAAAGGCGTTGACTTCCTTGCTCCAAATTCAAACAAAGATTTTTCGAAATTTCATTAGGAACTTTGTGGTTAGATGGCTCATAACTTCTGCAATTTTCTATCTCATGTTTTTCTGATTGCTGATCAATTTTCACTGGTACACTACCAAAATCTCTTAAAACTGTCTCCTTACTATCTAAGGGTTCGTCTGGTTCAAGTTTGAACTTAGCGTGCTTTGACGTTACAAAATTGTCCCTTTTGAAGCCCGTAAGAAGCAATTCCACTTCTGACATGCCGTTGACATAAAGTCTTCCAGCGTTTCTAGGATCCATTGGAACTATACCATCAGGTGCCAAATCCACAGGAATCTCTTGAGGAAATAGCGCGAAGTCAGGAATCTCGGGTTTCGTTTCTGTTTTTAATGATGCCACTGTCGCTTCTGCTTTCAACGATGGCACTATACTTTCTATCTTGTGTCCGTCTTCAGGCTCAGTTTTAGGTGAAACAGAAGCAATAGAAGAACTGAGAGGCATGAGCTGGTCGCAAGATTTTGGACCCTCTCCAACCGGACTGAAATATGGCAAAATCCTGTGATCCTCAGGACTTTCCTCATCAACAATCGAATCAACTTCAAATTCGTCAAAGGTGCTTCCCATGTCACCTTCGTGGTCTGGCGTCAAACTAACCGGCGGTTCAAAAACGACATCTGATGGGAAATCATTTCCATCGTCTTCTGGTAGCTCTGGGAAACCTTCAAAATTGAAATCTGGCTCAGATGTATTGGACAGTCTGGGTTTGTAACTTGGGCCCGGCTCGCTTCTTACCGCAAGCAGAGGGGGAGGAGGTCCGTTGATATCTGGATACTTAAGACGCTCGAACGTTTCCATCTTTTTCTTGTCGATATCAGAAGCGATTGCATCTAGCACCAAGTCCGTTTCGAGAGATCCAGCCAAAAACGGAACATCTATCTTCGTTTCAATAGGTTCTTGTTTGATAGTCTTCATAGCGCTATTCAAAACCACGAAACAGAAAAGAGCAATTTCTGATTTGGGCACCGAAACGTCAATTGAGAACCCATTGATCAAGGGTTTCTTTGTATCATGTTTCGTTATTGGCGCAATGTAAACTGTGCTTTTACCACTGACACTTCTCGCTGAGCCATGAAGTTGTAGGCTCTCTAGCTTCTGACAGAACAGAGTGTACTCGATAATATTTCTCGTCGATTTCATTTGAAAAACAGTTAGCTGGTTGTTGAGCAGCGCATTTCTGGACAGTGATTCAATCAAACGCCAAAATTCACTCATCGGAAGCAGTTTCGCCAATTTAATTTGCTCGGGTAAGTCAATGGCTTCACCGTGACTTTCATTTACTCGAAAGGCAACTACATCGACAATCGTTTGATCATGAACCAACTTCCCTTTCCAGGCAATTTTGGAATCTTCGATTTGGCATCCTGAAGACGCTGTTAATAAACTCTGAGACGCCTCCAGTTTCACTGTTTGGGGATAGTCTTTCTCATTCGGCTCCTTTTCTTTCTTCAAGATTTTCGAAATTTTTTGATCACTGAAGGAGTCGAATAGGTTGCCATGATTTAGTGTTGATTCTTTTGACAACTTCGGCGTCTTTTTATTTTCCACTAGATCATGTACTGGTTTTTTAACCAAGTTCACTATTTTTATTTTTCCTTTGTAGGAGTTTTTGGCAATTTCAAAGTCGCTTAGTTTGTTGCAGACCTCAAGTAACTTCGATTCGTACCGATCAGTTAGAGCTCTGTTGTCACCATGCCCACTTCTTAACGAAAACCTGAAGATCTCACGTTCGACTTTCAAGATGAAATTTTTCAGCTGTCCTTCATCTTTTATTTCACTAACTACATTTGCGGCATTGACCTTGTTCGATATCTTGAAAAAAGCTCTTCGCCTATATTCTTCCGTCGGTTCCTTCAGAGGTAGGTTGGCTTCAACTTTCGGGGTTCCCGATCGTTGAGTCGCAACGTTTAGCGACGATGAGGTCGTTCGTTTCCGATTGGACTTGGTGCTTGGAACTATTCCTGTCATTGATGCCACTATTGAGCTGTTTTTCGCCTTTTTCGGCCTAACATCGGCATCCATCTCTGAACTAAGTTTGGTTTCATCCGCTGAGGATGGAACGTCATCTTCAGACTTGTAAGAATGGCTCTCCGATTTAGTCTTCGCGCGAGGTACAGTTTTGTGTTCTTCCAATTCAGTTGTCTTTTCCACTATCTGACTTTCACTTGACTTCAACTTCTCGTCGGAACTACATTCTGGCATTTGATCGCCTATGCTCTGATCGACATCTTTATTAAAAGATTGGAAAGCTTCCTCTTGTTTTGGCTTCTTTATTTTACGTCTTCTCGCTGTTTGCAACTTCTTTTTCGGTGCAATCCATTCACGATTCTCCGCTAACTCTCCGTTTTCTTGCCTTCCATAAGAAGTAATACCTTCGTCTTCATTCTGAGACTGGCTTCCAATCACGTCTTCACAGCTCATCTCCGCGTCAGTGTTGGACGCTTCCGCAGTTCGAGTAGGACTTGACGGACGTACCTCACTTAGCCAAAAATATCCGTTCGGTTTTCTGAATAGTGTACTCCTTTTACGAATCTCTTCATATCGTTTCTCTTGATCCTCGCACTGTCGCCGCAGACGGCGTTCTGATTCCAATTCTACTCTTTGAACTTCCAACTGACAACCAACGAACCCAGTTTCTGATACCAGTGTTGAATTCTTCAATCCCGATTCCTCAGAGTTTCTCCAGCTAGCACCATGAGGAGCGAAATATGACTGGTCTGGACTTCTGTTGCGTGAACACACAACTGAATCTAGCAAGCAATCCGTGCACGTAAACGTCCTCTTCTTTTCAAGAATGTCCGAAACTTGGGATTTGGTTAAATTCTGACAACTTGCATGCATGAGTTTTTCACACTTTTCACATTTGAGCTTGGAGTCTTTCTTTTTCTTCTGCTTGCAGCAACTTACTGCACCTTTTTCTATATTGGTATTTTGTGTCCCATCGTTTTCTAATTTGTGGTTCTCATTCTGCAGCTTCAAAGTTATCTTAATAGGCGGTAACTTTTCGGCCAGAGGGTTCGAACTAATCATATCAGCTCCTAACTCGCGCCTCAGTTGCATCAATCTTTCCGGTGAGGGCTTAAACGTTCCTGTTCTTCTCGCCATAGGCTTACTAGAAGATGTGCTGCTGCTCCTCAATAAATTAAGTTCTAACTTTTCGCTGGTTTTGCTCTCAATCGACTCGTCATCATACTGATGATCTTCACCGGTCAATGTAGTTTCGAAACTTTTATCTATATCTCCGGCTTTGGAACCCACTTCAACCTTTTCTGCTCCGGAAACTCCAGTCGAGATCAAATTTTTAATTTCCCCTTCTCTCTTGGATTCATAGATAGACTCTGACGACGGAATATCATTTGTTTCTGGACTACCTGGACGACTTCTGGACTGACTATTTCTGTCTTTCTTATCCAAGAAAAACAATCCAAATTGCTCCCAGGCCTTCTCCTGTGACGACTTCTGGGAGCGATCATTCTGCGCGACGTCATCGGACTTATCTAGAATGTTCTCAACTCCGTCTAGTATTTCGTACACGTCTTCTTCATCTTCAGGTTCTTCGTCAGAGGGATCGGTGAAGTTGATTGACATGTCGGATTTATTTTGACTTCCAGTCGAGGACTCCACTTCCAGTTCAGTTTTCGGTTGTGTTTCACTGTCATCTACAGGCATGATGCTACTACACCAACTTATGTCGAAAATGCCGTCCAAGCATTTTTCTAGGACATTGCAAAAAATTCGGAATTAGATTTTTGCGTTGTTCAACTCAAAACAGCGGACACCTTTCTATTTGTTATCATAGCTTGAACCTGAAAAAAATCAGCTATTACTTTTTTGAAAAACAACTGAAAAAACAAATTTATTAAGTCCAATCTTTAATTCTATTTTCGTCTCCCGCGTCGACGATTGTTGAGTCAGAAACTCACTTACATATAAACTTGGGTAAAAGCTAAGCAAAGATTCGATGGTTTCTGAAATTCATTTTCAATGATTTTCTCGGCGTATAAAAAGTTCGATGTTTCCATACTGAGCTTTTGATGCTCAGTTAGCATAGCCAACGTAAGTCGGAAAAGTGTACATATTTTAGGATCAGGGGCGGATTTAAGGGGGGGGGGGAGTCAGAAACTCGATGGTTTCCCGATGCACCCCCCTTAGGGATTCGACCCCCTGCCGACCCAAAGCGTCCCTCCTTTGGTACTTTTTAAGAAATCCATCGGCGCCAATATATACTAACTTTGAGGGGGAGCGCAAGGAAAAAAAAGCGATTTACTTTTTTGACCTGTTTTTTTTTTCAAAAATTTGCCAGTGGCGCAGAAAATTTGGCCAAAACAGCTTCTTTTTAGTGCTTCAGGAGAGCTCGGAAAAATAATTTGGTCGACCTAAAAAAAGTCGTCAAAATTTTCGAAAATCTTTTGAAAATCCGCCGCGCCTCCCCCCCTCGAGAAAATCCTAGATCCGCCCCTGTTGATGTACCATATATTTTATGATGTTTTGTTTTAAAGGAATCTGACGAAAATTCCACGGTTTGACGTTTTCTCCAATTAAAATAAAAAATTAGTTCTTTTTGAAAAATCTGTGCAACAAAACGAAAAAAAAAACAATTGAAATCATATCTTGTAATGGTACTGCAGATTCCAAAACTGGTACCGGGTTTCGACAGGTACCTTTAAGGTACATTGATTATTTAAGGCAACGAAAACTTCGTTTGGACAGAAAAAAGCGTTTTAAGATGCCAAAAAAAAAATAGCATAGCGCAGATTACAGAAAAACCTTATTGTGAGTTAAACCTGCAAACTAAGATAAAAAGTTATATACAGCATGACCTGGATAAGGAACCGCCCTTGAACAGAAAACATTGGTGCGGGGAAGAGACCGATAGCATTTGGGTCTAGATTTCTTAAGTCTTCTGAAAAACTTCATTACATTCAATAAATAAGAGTTATTGGGCATTATATTGCGCCTAGGCACCTTATCAATAATATATGTTCAGTCACAAATCTATTGAGAGTTTGAGCATTAAAAATCGTTGCGCGAAGAAAACTTTTTAAAAAAGTTATGAAAAGTTTTATTTTGTTCTCTGATCATAGTATATACGGGCCAGGTAGAAACTTTAATTGTCATATTGAAAACTGTTTATTCGCAGCTTGAGCTACAAAGAAAAATACTTGAAAATTTTTTCCTCATTTTCGAGAAAGTATGTCTTTTAGTAAAATTTAAAAACTTGGAACAGAATCACTGGTATTTGTTAGGTAAGTTGAAAATCCTCCAGTGTAATGAATTTGAAAATGGAGCTTTTAAATAAATCAAAAATAACAGTTACTTGGAATGTTCCGACTACAATAATTTATTCACGGAAAATCGAAACAAAGAAAAAATTTTTAAACAAGGGAATCTGAGCTTCGAAACACGTGTGATTCAAGAATTAAAAAAAAAATTACAGTTAAATTTAAATTTCAAAGAAAAAAAAACAATAATGGCTAATGGCCAGACAAAAAAAAAACAACTCTCAACGTTTTTCAAACCTCTCAACTTTCAATTTTGAAGGAAAAATAGATGGCTTAAACACTCGTTGCATTTCTGGCAAGATTGACACTGTTTTGATGCAATTAACCCAATTTGAGAAAACTGGATCAATAGGTAAATTTTCTCTTTGGCTGAGAAATCTGATTATTAAATTTTATTTTCGAATTTAGATGTTGATCACGTTTTTCGAGACCTTTACACTTTCGCTGTTCGATAGTCGAGTTTGTCTTCCTTATATCAAATGAAATTAACTGAATTAAAAAAGCGCTAAAAAAACTCAAATTCAAACCGCGAAAAACCAAATTTGAGCCTAACAACATTTAAGACTTATTCTGAAAAAAAATAACCAAAATCATCATGACCTATATGAGAGTCCGAACTACATTCATCGACTCTAAATAAAAATCTTGAAGCATCGCAATATTGAAATAGTCACCAAAAATTCATCAAATATATTACAGAGAAAACGAGAGAACAACGCAACGTAAAGAAACTAGGAAAAATAAAATTTCATGATGCATCATTTGTGATCTGTCTACCATACTCAAACATTACTATATGATAACACAAAAAGCAAAAAAAACTCGCATATAGCAAACCTCTTTATTTGATGATCGTTGGAAAAACAACCTTTCAATCATAAATTTTTATCTAACCAGAATCCGCTCGGTAAAAACTCAGGCAAGGGTAAGCAAACAATTTTAGGCTGAAACTTAGAGACAATACTTGCAGAGCGCTATTTATTCGAACAAAATAATTCAACTATTAATTTTGCTATGCAGTAAAAGTGCCACCAAATAAAAAAAAATAGAACGAACTATTTCAATTTTCTTGATGTGCATCTCCAACTTGTAGACTAGGAGTCTCACGTCCTAGAATCAGCACCACTGTCTCTTGGAAGTAAATCAAGATATCTTTGAACTACATTACACATGCAGAGAGCAGTGTAATACTATGAAGCAGCTTTTTTCGGACCAACATAGCAAATAAAATTTGCCATTTGGTCCGAAAAAAGCTGCTTTCTAGTATTACACTGCTCTCTGCTTGTGTAATGAAGTTCAATGAGATCTTAGTGAGCCAACAATTGACAGAAACTCCGTCACTTATAGCCTTTGTGTCGAAAAATTGATATGGCAGATAAAGATCTGCTAGCGATTCCTGCAAGCAGATTTTTAAGCAAACTGTTGAAGCAGCTAAGAGTATAGTAAAGCAGCTAAATTGATAAAGCAGCAAAACTAAGCCAAAAAGAAATTGTGGAAGTCTCAACACCTCAATGCAACAGATAAAAACAATTGAACTTTTCTGAACATTAAATGCGTTACGTTAAATCTATATTTTATGGCTGACAAATTTTTTCATAAAGCCAGCGCAATTAGAGAAAAATGGGTCAAAGCATGCTAGTAGCTACTTTGCAACTGTTTGCCTACAAAAAAATCTAATCGGAAATACTGACTAATGCACGACGAAATTTTTCACCCAAGAATGTCAGATGGCCTTGAATTGAATGGAATTGATCTGGAAACTCCGTGAAGTGCACGTACCCACCTTTGGTGTTTTAGTTTTTGATACTTCGAACATCTTTGGCCGTTATTATTGCTCTTCTTGTTTAGCTTTCTTCTACCAAAAAAAAAGAATTGACGAACTGCTACAGTAATTTTATTTCAGGTCTCGAATTGTCTCATGTTAAAAAATATCAAAGACTATTCAAGATAACTATTTCATTTGTTGAAACCCAGTTCCGTATATATGTTTAAGTTTTTAGCCTTCGCTATCCCAAGTTCAATAAATCTATTGCTACTTTAAATGCATCTTGCTATTCATTGCGATGACTATGAAAACAACTGAGCTGAGTACGTTTATTTCTCCTGGATGAAATTAAATTGAAGCTAAAATTCAAACGATGTCACATTGGAGCCTTTCAAGCAACTCTTCGTCCCCTAATTGTTTCTTCTTTGATTTCTTCAACAAGGAACTGTCTCGCCTGATCTCTTCTAGCTCATCGCTTGTGAACTCGTTTTTTCCTTTCCTTATTTGCTTTCTTTTCAGCTTTTTCTTCTCGATTCTTGCCTTTCTGACCATTTTGATCGATGATTTAGACTCCGTTTTCCTTACTGTACCTAACCTCGCAATTCTCTCTGCTTCCTTTGCGGTGTCAGTATACGCAATTGATGCAGTGTCAATTTCTGTTCGTTTGAACGCAGAAATGTCCCGTTTGCCCAACTCGGGCATTCGTGGCAGTCGCAACAATCCGAATCCGTTCGCTACTTCTCCGAAGTTCAGATTCTTCATGTTAAATATATAACTACACTCATGTTTCTTGTATGCCTGAACATAGGAAACGAAAGCTCTGGTGCCCAATTCTAAAACAGTCCGATCTTCTTGTGCCAGGGTTTTCAGTTTTTCAACTGACTGGCTGAACTTTTCGGGTACTTGTATTTCGTACTCCTGTAGTGGCGCTTTCAACGATATTTCTATGAACCCTGCATAACTAAAACAAACATTTTAACCTGAGATAGAAGAAGTAGTCATCTGACTTTAATATAATGCACATGTTTGAAAAAATTAAATTTTAGCTACTGAGAGTGTAACTTACTCAATTTCGTTTGGCATCAAGAAAATCAACGCACTTCCAGACTTATCAGCTCTGGCAGTTCTTCCACATCTGTGAACAAAGCTGGTTGCGCAGCTCGGAGGGTCATACTGTAAGACCCAGTCAATGTTCTCGATGTCAATTCCTCGCGACAGCAAATCAGTTGAAAGCAGGATTCCTTGTTTCATTTTCCGGAATTTTTCCACAACCTGATTTCGCTTTTTCTTCATTTTACCGTGAATCATCAGCAAGTTCAGGCTGGGCAAAAACTTGGGTAAAAATGTCCGGAAATAATTTACCTGGCATGAAGTAGAAAGAAACAGCAGAATTTTTGATTCCATGTTTTCGTTCAAAAACGTGAGCAACATGTCAAGCTTATTCTCTCCTGTGCAGCTGACATAGCAGTTTCTCAATTTTGCAGGGGTTTTAATCATCGCATCATCTGTTATGGGCTCTCCATTGGGTAAAGTAGGTGTTTTGCTATGCACTGTGACCCGAACAGGATTTCTCAACCCTGCTCGTATGATGTCATCTAGCGACTCAGTTTGGGTTGCTGAAAAAAGCCCAGTACGTCTTTGCTTCGGCAAATTCTGAAGTATGCTGGTCAGTCGCTCATGGAATCCCATGTCCAGCAGTCGGTCAGCCTCGTCCAATATTAGCATTTGCAAATTTCGGAAGTAACCTTTGAAACTGAACATGTCCTTTTCATTTATTTCTAGTAGTTCTGCGAATCGACCAGGTGTCGACACTACAACATTTGCTGGCTTCTTCGCCTTGCCTAGAAAACTAACGCACTAATTTATTAGTATCACAGCTCTTGTGATAACAAGTTATGAATTGGTGTGATATCACTTACTTCTTGATATTCTGCTCACAAGTCTTATCCCCACCAAGTATAAGACAGGTCCTCAGGCCAAAGCTTCTCAAAAGTGATTTTGATACTGTGTATATCTGCATGGCTAAATCTCTAGTAGGAGCTATCACCAGTGAATGCGGGCATGACACATCGCCTCCCGCTTTTCGTTCATCTAGAATTAGCTTCAAAATCGGCAGCAAGAAAGACAAAGTTTTGCCACTGCCAGTGACTGCCTCAACAAGAACATCCTAAAAGCATCATACCGTTTGTTATTTAATACATACTTGAATACCGTTTTAGTACGTCTTTTCAAAATATACACAGAAACAAAACTGCGTTTCGCACCAATTGCAATACAACAATAAAACAAGAAAAACAGTTTATAAAAAATCGAAAGACTAAATATATCAAAATGAATGAGACTAATTTTGAAACAAAAACATGCCAAGACAAAAAATCAGTTATTTCAGCTATTGTTGCCAGAGATGGAATAAGGATAAACTGGATAATTTTTACTCTCATCGCAAGCGCAGATACAAAGCAAGCGCAGCATTGCAAGTTCGCAAATAAAAAATGACATGAAACAACAAAATCAAAAAAAAAAATTGTGGAAAACAAATTCAGAAACCAAGGTCAGGCCAGGACTCGTACCCCAAACCTTGTAGTGTAAAAAACTAAACATGATAATGAAAAAAAAACTAAGAAAAACCTACAATATGGCAATTAAGCCGACAAAACACAAGCAGACAATGAAAAGCCAACAATTTTTTTTTGAAACGGACTCTTCAACACTTGAAAAAAAAACAGGTCCTGTCAGATTCGAACCCAGGACTTTGCCGCCCCAGGCGCATCTGTCACCTCCAGTCCAAGAGCAGAATTCTAGTTTGCAAAATAAATCCGGCCGGATTCGAACCGCAAATCTTTGCAATCTCAAGCAGTTATTTTACCTATAAGCTAGATGCGCAGTATGGTTGATTGGGCTTGAAATTATAAGTATCAAGCGGTAAGAAAATTTCCATTTCTAATTCTGACCATTCTGTGAACAAACTTATTTTTAGAAAAAAGTCTTGTACCCGATTGCAATACCTTTGCTTATCGCAAGGGTAATAATAATACCGAACCAAAAGACTCAAGGATAACTGATTAGAGATCCTGTATCTCTAGTCGGCTCAGCGTTACTGCAAATTTACACACAGAGGCGACACATAACTGAAAATCAAACGAAAAAAAATCAAAAAAAAGGTTTTTGTCAAAAAATTGCAAAAAATATCCCAAACAAAATCGCCTGCGCTATAAGAAGAGCTACAAAGAGCTGCTTTAGAAAGGCTATAAAGAATCCAAAAATTCAATCAAAGTCCTTTCTAAGGAACTAAGCAGACAAAATAAGCAGATAGAATCTAAATTAGCCAAAAATCTCTATTTGCAATAAAAACAGGTCTCAACTGGAATTGAACTCCCGGGCTTTGTTGTCTCAAGCATGTAGATTACAGCAACTTTGAAAAAAGCTGAAGTATTGAGCTACAGAACTAAGCCGACAAATATAAACAAACGGCCGATAGTCCGAAAAAGCACAAAAAGTGTAGCTTGCAATAAAGAGCCCAGACGAAATCGAACCAGAAATCTTTGCCGTCTCAAGCAGTTGTTTTAACTCTACGCCAGATGCGCCGGATGTTTGATTGTGTTTCATTTTATAATTACCACGCGGTAACAGAGCAAAATAATCTGAGCAGAAAAATGGTCGCTCACACCCCCAAAAAAATCATAAAAAAAGGTTTAATGTAAATCTTTAATAAATAAGAGATATTTTCGGTAAATAACTCCGACAAAACATAAACTTCGGCATTTTATCGATTATAACAAAAACAATTTATAGCTGCAAACTCAAAGGAAGCTCTCTAAACACTGGTATTTGCCTTTGAGACAAATTCCTCTTTCTTTTGGGAGGTCAGACTTAATCAAGTCTACACGGTTCAGACTTGATTAAGTCTGGCGTCAAAAAAAGAGCAGTTTTTCTCATGGGCAAATACCAGTTTTTGGAGAGCTTCCTTTGAAATTGTAGTTATAAATTGTTAGCAGCTACATGTCCAAAGGTTAGCGTATGGGGGAAACCGAACCCGGTCGACCGGCGGTTTGAGCGTGTCATATACGTTAGGCTATATTCGCTTTTCACTCTTATTTACGTTTGCACTTGCGTTTCATTATTTGCATTCAATTTTGCGCTGCAACATCTTCCGCCCCCAAAAAGAGAAGAACTGGAGCGAGCTCATAGCTCGGTCGAGTAAGTTCGCTCGTGGCTGTCTTAATGAGAGTGGAACCTGCGCATCCGTCTTCGGCGTAGTTAAGTTTCACAATGCGAGCGAGAGGGTAATATCAAAAACCCATACGAGATCACCCGTTCTTAGAACAACTTTCAGATTGGGTGTTCCACTTCGCATGCTTGTTCAGTAAATGTACATATTCTCGCAGCCAACGAGACGAAATAGCGTCATCGTACGACTGCGCTCGTACGTACTTTTCTTTGATCGAAATATTTCCCACGCGAGAGCGAAGGAAAGCTTGCGGCGTACTGCCGAAGCAAAAAGTTGTTGGCGGTTAAAGCTTCTAAATCACGCGAATCGGTACTTACCGGAGTGATCGGCCTTGCATTCAGAGCCTGCTCCACTAGTAGAGTGTTGTTCCTCACACTTCTGTCACCCGCCTTCTGCCTAGTATATTGAGGTGTACACGTTTAACACTGCGGACGAGGCGCTCCAAAGAGCTGCCATGATGCGGTGCACTTGGAGGGTTAAACTTCCAGGTTATTCCTTTATGTGGAAAGACGATTGGAGCCATGTTTTTACAAATCTTGATACATGCAAGAAGTTCCATTTCTGCACCAAAAAAAATGGTCAAGTTAACCGACCAAAAAGTGCTGGGTGTACCACAGCGCGCGATGAACCGCTCGATGCCCATCACACATGAGCTTGTGTCTAGTGATGGCACAACCTCGAGGTGTACAGCCCTAGTGGTGAGGCAAGTAAAAAGAAAACCCCACCTTTTTCTCAGTGCTCCTTCGAATGGGAACGTAATACGGTCCGAAACAGTCCACGCCTGTGGAGGAAAAACGTGGCTGCTTCTGCACGAGGCGTTCGACAGGTAAATCGACCATTATCGGTGTGACCGTGATTGCTTTCCGCTTTCGACATGTAACGCAATGGTTTTCAGTAGACTTCAGCAGTCGACGCAACTCCAGTATAGCGTACTTTAAGTTAATCACGGAGCGCATGCGGTTCAATCTTTCTTGAAAATGCTCAAAGTGGAGGCGCAACACGAGCTTCAACGCTTTCGTTGGCGCAACACGCGCTTTACCGAAGACAAAAGAGATTTCAGCAGTTTTATGCGAGCTTATGAGTCGCGCACGCAAAAACCCGGCGGCGCAGAAAACATCCTACAAGCCAACAAACGAACTAATGTATTGCGAGCGTCCAGCAAAATGGGGTGTTTAGTATCAAACGTGCGTTCAACTAAGCGTCTTATGCGGCCAGTCGACCGAAGGATACCAGCCGGACTCAAGAACGGGAGTACAAGGCAATCTTGCTATTGCTCTTAACGGGTTTATCAGGGGTGAGTAATTACAATTCGACGGGAAACGAGTCGGTTTGCGCAAGATGTATAAGCTTCTTCGCAATATCCAGCTCAAGAGGATCGGTGATCTCAAGGCAGGTACCGAAGAAGTTAACCCGGCGGACGGCGGTAACGGACCACTAATGACCCAACCTATCGGTAGGCGGACGGAACATGGTGAGTTAGAGTCCTCTCCTAAGAGAAATTCAATCGGACCAACGGCAGGTTAGTAAAACTGTGCTGTACTAAGATAACTTCTACATCTTCATAGTTGTACTGTAAGGGCTTTATTGGAGCTAATTGAGGATATTTATTCTGCAACTCAGGTATATTCATACATTATGTACTAATGTGAACGTTGTCTTTCCTATAAGCATCCATAGTGAAAGACAAATCGGCGTTATTCGGTTCAGACGAGACACTGAATTTGACTCAGTGAGTTTCGATGACTTTTACGGCAATGAAACTACTGATGGCAAAATGGACTGGCTCAACAACCAGTTTTAAGCGTCTAGCGTCAGATGCGGAAACCCACGAATGTGTAGATGCTCCGTCGCTAAGAACCAACGTCTGGACACAGGTGCTGTCTGAGGAAACACCAACTGTTGTAACTAGCAAGTCCTTTCGGTAGTTCTTTGTAATTTTCCAGCCCCATTGCAACATGCGTGGGAACATGTTTAACATCCTTCGGTTTAGACTCATCCTTTGCTGTAAAATTCTGTCAGCACCGTGAAGAAGGACGTGCGTGCTCTCACAGTCCTGTTCTGGACACGTCTTTGCCTTCGTGCAATTACGGAAGCCATGGTTCCCGTTGAGGCATGTGAAGCAAAGTTTTTGCTCAGCTACAAATTTCGCAAGCTGAGTGCCATTCTTTTCCTTGAACGCAGCGCCAAAGGGTATGCTTTCCCTAACACTGCAGGCACGGCGGATCAATAGGCTTGCTTTTGTAATCGATAGTGCTCTTAGCGTTTGATGCAAACATTTTCTTCCGTTTTAGTTCTCGGACCAAGAGCGCGCACTTCCATGGCCCTCCGCTTTCTCTTTTAACTAATTATTGAAATCTAAGAGGCTGGGACGCTACCAATTATGCCTAATGGTATGCATTGGCCAAGCTTCTTTCAAAGTTGGTGGGAGCTTGCCAACAGCTTGGTTCAGAAGAGTCATGCTTTTAAGGTCATCATGAAATGACCTCGATTAAAAAACACACTTTTAAAATCATCATGAAATGCCAACGATTGAAAGCCTGCAACTAGTCCTGAAACGGTGGAGGAGAAACTGATGACTTTCTCTGAATTATGCACTTTGAGGGTAGGCAAACTGGCTAATATATCCATATGAGCACAATAATAGTATGAGGCTGGCCAAACTTTCTCTGCAATGTAGCAATTGCATCATTGTTCAAGACTCCACCATAACTGTATTCGGCGAGAGCTGCTTTGGCTTTTCCGGTTACAGGCGTCTTTAAGTAAGTTAATTTCTCGTCATCAGTCAGAAGGGCGGAATCGATGGTTGAGGTAAATTGTCCAACCCATTCGCGACAGTTCAGAGCGTTACTATCAAATTGACTCAATTTCAGTTCTGGGACAAGATCTTTGCGACTACTTTTCATCAATTCAGCTACTCCACGAGCCGAAATTGGCTGCTC